AAGACTATTGTATCGTTAAAAATTATTTTTTTATTTTGTACAAACAAAATAAATATATTGAAAAATATAAAAACAATAAAAAATTATACTTCAGAAGTTAATTTAGTATCAAAAACGTAAAATATTTGAGTAGCCCAAGACGTAGCCAAAGATTGCAGCGCCACAGCACTGGCGAAAATTTAAATTTGCCGAGTAGAATTGTTTCGGATAATTGACGTTTCGGATGACCGACTTTCGGATAATCGATGTTCTACTGTAATTCGCTTACAACGAAAGAAAGGCATTTTTCTCTCTTCCCCTAGAAAGGAAATGTTTCTTTAACGTGGCCAAACGTAAATTTCATCGTCTAAAAAGTTTTCGTCCTTCAAAATACGTTTCAATCTTTATTTAATATTATAATAGTATTAAATATTTCATTTACTCCGGTTTCGCGTCACGCTTTCTATTCTTAAAATTATGTGGTTGGATCGTCGATTTGAACAATTGAATTGATAAATGAATTAATGATTAAATAACATATATTTAATCGTTTGGTTAAATAGTCCGAATTAGTGCGACGAAAACCGTGCAAAAATCCAAATCGACCGGCGACGAAAGTGAATAAGATGGAGATCGAAACGTCGCGTCGTACCGTTCGTTCGTTACCGACGATACGACGTAGAAGCGCGCGACTCGTTTACCCCGTAGCGTAATTCGATCTCGTCTTATTATATTGTTAGCGAACGATATCGTTCGGTTCGATCTTAGAATCGATTGGGAAAGTCGTTTTACCCGGTTGCGGCCGCACTTCTCTCGTTAATTGCCACCGCTTAATTTCTACGAATTTATTTTAATTCCACATTTTTAGTTTGTTAATAGTCGTTGAAGGAAATAAACCTTCGATACGTAATAATTACGCCGCGCTTTTTACGCGAATTAGAATGCGAAATTCGTTATATTAATGGTTTCGCTAGTCTATAATATTTATTCGGAACGGGGAATAGGGATTTGCTTAGTCTCGAACTTCGTACGTCGGTCGGTGGCTAATAAATAACTCGCTGGGAAACGAGTGATTGCTCCCAAAAATTGCGGGCAAATTATTGGAAATTCTCTGGAAAATAGGTTGTTAGTAATAAAAAATTTCTATTAATCTCCACTTCGTATCGTCGTTCTTCCTTAAATTGAAAAAAAAAAAATGTCGGAAAAATTCAAACTCGAAAATCTGTTCGTTTCCTCAATTAAGGGCCGAACGGGTGTTAAAATAAACAAATAGAATCGCGTACATTTGCTATAGAAAAACATCTCGCTACGGGTAGTTTTCGTGTAAATTTTTTCACCTTCAACTTTTCAGAAGCGACTTATTTTCCGTCCGTAGGAGTTAGTTTTCCTCGTAATTATATTTTTTGAAGACATCGATTGACGACGAGAATAAGCACGTTCTTTGTGTAAACTCAGTTATTTACATTTGCCCCTTTCTGCCTGTGACAAATAAATAAACAGTTTAATAAACCTTATAGAAATGATATTAATAAATCTGGTAAAGTAGGGCAGATTTCAAATTTCGTGATTCGAAAAGTATAAAGATTCTTTTAAAATCTAATTTTCTGAATATCTATTTATAAACACGTTTTTGTACTTAAAGAATTATAATGGTAACCTTGATCCTGTTTGCCTGCCAGATTATCCTAGAAAAACTATTTGTGTTTCTATGTCACTTTAAAAAAATTTCGTCGATTGGAAACAATCGAAACGATGGAAAGTCGGCAAGAAAAATGGTGGGGTGAATGAAGTCGTATAGAATTAGTTCTTGTTCCTCACGCTTCCATCTATTTGGCTTTAGTACCCGCTTTTTGTCTTAAACTCTTCCAGGTATTTCTTTACAATGAAACACATTTTATCTCGTAATTTAATCGATTTCTTCGATATTTAAATAACTACGAATGATTTTCGGTTCTAAGGTATTAAAACTTTCGTAACATTTAAATTGCCTTTTTAAAACGATTTAATTTTTAAATCGTTACTAAATTTCGATCGTCTTTAATGCAAATTGGTGTATTTGCGTCGGTATAAATCACGAACACGCTAAATTAATTTAACAATTATCTCAAATAATCAGACGATAGGATGCGAGGCTTCGTTAGTTAACCGATTACCATTCATTTTTAGTACGTAAACGCTTATAGGTTAACTTCGAACTCTAATTACGAACACGGATCTCTTTAGAGTCGTAGATGTGGCTCGAATAATACCCGAACGCCCAAACTACCGGACCACTTTTGCCAGGAAAGACCTAATCCACCACGTAAGTACAATAAAAGTCTGGGGAGCGAGTCTTTTTTTGAAAAAAGTTCCCGCAAAACCATAAGATAAGATTAAAATAAATCTCGTTAACGATTCCAAAAATGCAAATTTGATATTAAAAAGTTTTCAAATCGTATAATTATTTTATCGTGTTTAATTTTCTGACGATTATATGCAATCGAGATAATTTCAGATTGACCGGAACGTTACATTGTCGAGTAACCCCGTATTATTCTCCCAACTTTAGACGATTGCACCTTCTCAAAAATTATTTTAAGTGTGTATTCTTACAAATTTAAAATACTAAATTTTCGACGCAATTAAAATTATTTTTAGCCGAAATAAACAGCTTCTACGCGGGAAATAATACTCCGGATATCTGAATACTAACGCGTGACACGTGATATACGATCTTAGATTAAACTTGCCACCCGACGAGTTCGTTTCTTCTTCTTAAATTATTATTTTTATTTCGAAAAATAATAATTTTTAAATTTAATTTAAAATCTATTTTTAGAAAAGAAGGAACTCTCAGTTGTTCGAGCGAGTGGAAATGTGGGTTTTACGTTGTTTACTTCCCGTATAAATATAATTACGTCCTAGAATCTATTCAATATATCCGTGCGGCTATCAAAATCCGTCCCTTTTTTTTTCTTATGACCCGAAATGTAGATAGGTAAACTTCCCGTACTTATAGAATAATTTATTCGTCCTTTTACGCGTTACAACTCCTAGAATAATCTCCGTTCTGTACCACCGTCCTAGTTTAGGTGTTTTTTACATCGGTATTGTCCTCCGATCGGAAACGACATCCAACGTTTCAATTAAGAGATAAATAAGCCGCGCATTCTGTAATTTCACTTTATGGTTAGGAGACAATGGCCGGTAAATGCGGAGTAATTTAAATACTATCGAGAAGCCCGTCTTCTATTTGAATAGTGGCTTTACCGGGCTAATACGATTATAGCGGTGGAGGTTATACGATGCTTCCGTTAGACGGAACATTAGATAGGCGCATTTTGTGAGTTTGTGGAGAAGAGAGGAGCGTAATGCTCCATTCGGTTTCTACCGGCAACACTTTTTAAAAGACGTACGGGATAATCCTTGAGGGTCGTATTTAAAGAGCATCAACGAGAGAGAAATCGCCAACCGTTAAGAAGAAAAAAGAGGTATTCGTAAATACCGTTTGGTTCGCACCAGAAACCTAGTTAGAGGGGGATGGAGTTTTTAGGCGACGTTATTTAAATCGAGGATGAGCGTTGACGAGCGAGTGGTCGAAGCGCGAATGTCCTTGATATCGGTACAGTGAACCAGAATTACTCACCAAGCTATCTTTTAATGTGTCATCGTAAATAGACGTACTTGTTTAATGCAGGAAAATCGACGTTTTACGCGGATTTTTTTATAACCCAATCGTTTAATTTTATTATCCGATGGATAATGCGTTATTAAGTCGTAAATTTACATAATTATACCGTATAAAAATATCCTCGACGGTCGACCGTCGAGGATATTTTTAACGAAATTAGCAGTTGGTATCTTTCTTAGTTAAAAATAAAGTATTCTCGATAATTTTATTCATTTGCTTCCGTATTTTCAAAATTATGATTTTGTGCGAAAACAAAATCGATGTATAATAATTTTTTGCAGTATTTTAAAAAAGTATTTGCGTTCTTATATATACGAGCCTAACTGAGAATTACTCCTCCGTGTCGCCAATGATTTCGCCCGCTTATTGCTTTTTCGTTAACGTTTGTTGGCATTTATCTCCGATAAAGTTTGGGACGATCTTTCCGATCATTTCTACGAATTATTCCTCGGTAATTTCTCACTTACCGAAGAATTTTGCCCGAATATCTGGAATTAAATGTGATTCGACCGGACGTTGAGGAAATTAACCGGTTTGCATCGATTCCGGAAAATTAACGTACTGGATCCGCTTTGATAAGCGGGATGCGGCTGAGAATCGGTGGAGCAAAAAGATAAGAGAACGACCGGAAATGCAATCGACGGCGATTTCCGTTCCGATTTATCGCCGTTTATACGCGTGAAGATTTCTCTCGTTATTAAACGGGAAGTTTAATCGAAGTTTTGATCCCGTTTTATAAATAACCGGTTAAAATACGTAGGTTAACTTTAAAACGTTAGTTAAAATATTCGATTCTTTAAATTCATCTCCGTCGTACCGCATTCTCACGACGTAGAACGGGCGAAAGACCCACGGTAGGAATCGGGTTTAAACGTCTATAAACAAATAAACCGGATACGTTGGAGCAAATACGGCAGTCCTCCGACTGCCGTTTTGTCCAACCATTCCCGCAATAAGTTCCGCTATTATTACGCAATTTATAATTAAATATTTTCGGCGTAAATTAAGAACGGCCCGGTTTAAGACCGTTTGGTTTAATCGACGAGGGGTGGGAAAAGAAGAAACGACGGGAGCGTGTTTAAAAATATATTTATTCTTAGGTATAAGCTGGATATTTACAACATGTACAGACGACGTATAAAAGATCCGACATCAGCCGTGTCGGGGAGGAAGGAAACCCCTTCCGGCGGCGTACTTCTGTCCCGCTAACCAACCTTTGGCCCACCCTTGCCACCATCCGCCCTTGCCGGGTTCGTCGTAGTCGATACTTCCCTGACCGGAGACCGTCCTGGGGTGCAGTTCGGAACCGCCGTACATCTCGCCCTTGCTGGCCTCGTTGATCATTCTGGCCACGGCGGCGTAGTGTTTACCTATGTCGAAGGTGGCAATTTCGTGGCATCGCACCCTCGTCCACAGCACCGCGATCAGCACGACGATCACCGCCAACCTACGCTGTAAAAAAGAGCAGAATTTCACTAAAGGATCTCTCGCCGGAGGGAGGCCGAGGCCACTTCGTACCACCGCTTACCATCTTAAAGAGGTGCAACGGCGCAACTTCTGAACGAGTTTGTGGCTTTTTCGCCGTTTTATATTGTCTCGAGCCATTGCGTCACGCGATTAGCGTCACGGATCGAGCACGAGAAACCGCCTTCTGTCGTCCCAATTACCCGGCCGAACTTTCCTGAAGAGCGAGGAAGAAAGGACGCATTCTTAAGAATGGGAAATTCTGTTATTCGGCTGAAGTGTGGGAGGCGAATGACCGAAATTCGATCGCGGACGGGAAAATCTTTGCCTCGTTTTCGTCGCCAGACTACTAAAACTAAAAAATTTCTTCTCGGTGTCGGTCGAGTGAAAATGTTTTTACCACTTCCGACTGTTCTCCGGACCACACATAATTGTTGTGGCTCGATGTTATTCGGTTTATTAACTTTATTTATTATTATTACGCCGCACTAAACGATTTATACTGTTACTTTTACGGACGAATAAACGATTATTACTAAATTAATTAAATTAAATAAAAATTTCATTCTATCGATACTGCTAATATCCGCTGTCGCGTCGGTACGCTACGCCTCCTCGATGGTTCTCCACTTTTTCTGCAGCTCCACCCTTTCAATTTTTAAAATGTGTTTGGGCATACGGGACGATTTTTATTTATTTATTAATTAAGAAATAAAATTCTCACATTTTCTCGTACGTATTTTAGTCTAACTTTTGGCACGAATTTGGGAATAAAGGAAAACCCTTCAAAAACTTATTAAACCAGACCCGAATACCGAATGGGTGGGTGGTTTAGGGTCGTAGCGTTTAAAGAAATATTTCGTGAGCTCTATAGCTTCGTGTCTGTACTAATTAAACGTATGTTCTTTAATCTTCTCTAATATAAAGTCTGGCTGTCCGGGCGAGGTGCCTGCACCCGTTAAAAGCCGCTGTTTTAACCATCGCTGTAAAATATAACTGTATTATATTAATATATCGATGTGTAGCGTGCGTATTTTATATACGCACTATTTATAGTACACTTACGAGTATTTAAAGTACGAATTTGGCATCTGGAGCGTTCGAATTATTTTAACGCCCTTCCTTTGTTTTATAGGCGTCTTGGCTGAAAGACTATTAAAAAAAAATTCTAACTCGATAAATAATTCGGACAATTAATATTCTAAATTTAACATTTGAGTTTCGCCTAAAATCCGGTATACGAAATTTCTAGTAGGAAAATAAATTTTGGAAGTTATCTGTGGAACTGCCAATAAATAATAAATATAAAAATAATCACGTAAAGAAGTTTTGCCTCCTCCTCTGGCATCCAGAAGGAGATGCAACAATTGCTTAAGTTTCTCGATTTAATCTCTCGCGGATGAACTTTAACACATTTTAATGCATTTTTAAAAATATATATACTTTAAATTTGCGATAATGATATTTCGTCTTTGACGATTTAACTAAATTTTGATAAAAACTAAAAATAAGCAAAGTTTGAAGATGAAAATAAGAATAAAAAACAGATCAATCAGACCGTGAATACTCAGAAAATCTCTGCAAAATTCATATTTACGATGTTACAATAGAATAATAAATCGTTATCAAATGTATACAAATGACAGGTAAAATGCATTTGACCAGCGACAATAAAAGGAATAAACAAGACTTAATCGAGGGTTGTTCTTCGTTTCGGTTTAATAAACTTTTAATATATTTAAAAATTTCATTTCAATGAACTGTATTTTTTCTTTTATAAAAACCTCTTAATTGAGTTATAGTCGATCGCTTATTTCTTCGATTATCTTCGGGTTCCACGTAAACGTTCTTCGCCGATTACGAAAAATTATCCTTAACGCAATTATTCGTCGCTTCGTATCACTTAATTATTGCTAAATTTAACTTTCGTCGTCGTTATCCAAATGTCAGGTATTTTGTATACCGTTTTCGTTCGATTACAACGAAATTCGTCAAGTTAGAAACTATAAGGCACTGCAGAGGTAAGAAATAACAATAAATTCCTTAAATATGTATCACTAAAAAACAGAGTGAAAATCTTTAGTGTTAATTTTTAGGCACGAGCGACCTGGAGACGGAGCCTCGGACACCTCTCTGTACTCGGTCTGGGTCCCGTATTCGAAATCTAATATTCGTTATTGTCTGATATTAGACCTTATATAATATAGTGTAATACGTAGGCTACCTTACGTTATATAAAAGGGACGGACAAATTTATGCACACTTAGGGCTTGGCGTAGGCTATAACGCCGAATTGGAGTTTTAGTCAATGCCAAGCCTTCTTACGTGCGCGTAAATTTGCCCACTCCCAAAAGTAGGAAAAGCCAAATTTTCGAAATAATATTGAAGCCACAGGACCGGTGGAAGGAAAGTATTTATAGTTATGAAGTGACGAAAGAAAAAAACGGGACTTTCCATCAGTGTTTCTTTAATTTTTATTTACAAGATTCATTAGATAAATCAATGGATAATCGAAGACGTTCTTAGATAGCCTTCGATTGCTATCTTCTACGTCCCTTAAACATCCGTATTTGGTTAAATATATTTATACGCCGGTATCATACGTGCGGCGGAAATTACGTCTATATTTAGAGGAGTTCAATAATCATTTGGATATTTTAATGTGAAAAATGAACCCAAATTTTTCGTCGACTTGGTACAGATAGGCGGTATCTTCTGTTTGACGTTAGACCCACATAATGCAGAAGAATTTAACGGAAAAAACGAATTGTGTACAGAAAAAATATTTGTCTGTAGATATATTTCTAATTATTAGGTCAGTATCGTCGTTACGTCGTTTGTGTCGAAAATATTCTTTTGTTCCATTATCGACACACCGAAATTCGGTTAGAAAAATAATCTTTCCTTCTAAGAAAAGGAAATAATCTTATTTCTCCAACCGAAATTAGGAACTTTTAAAAAATATTTTCGTTTATATTTATTTTTGGTTTAGGCAATTCTGATACTAACAAAAGTTTCGGTCTAATTTGTTGTTTTCGCGTGTTCGTTCTACTACAAAAATGTAGCAACCGGTTGCTTAACTTTCCCGGCAACATTTAAAATTTGGGTGGCGCCAACTGTTATAATATTTCAATGAAACTTTTTATTTTTTCGAATTTTCCGATGGTTTAGCTGTTTTATATGTTGATTTAGTGAACGACTCTTCAATCCGAAAAAATCTTTCCGGTAGACTACCTCGCAGCCAATTCAGGTTATAAACTCCTTTTATTGTTTTTTACAGACGCATTTCGAGCTAGGTTAATTTACTAGCTCCTCCTCAGTGCTACAAGATAAATTTTAATTTTAAAAATTGACAAAAACAATGCGAGTAGATAATGTAACAACAAAATTAAAAAACACATTTCATAATACCTTAAGAGTTCCACGAGTTTCGTATGATCTAATTTTCACACTTATATGGTACTTTTAGTCCCGTTTACAATATTTTTACCATCTTATAAAATTACTCGAAGGGCTTACTTATATCGTGTATTGTAAAAATGGCACTNACATCTGAAGTATAATTTTTTATTGTTTTTATATTTTTCAATATATTTATTTTGTTTGTACAAAATAAAAAAATAATTTTTAACGATACAATAGTCTTAGTTAGCTTTACATCGAACAAAAATTCAACGCGAAGCGACACGCAACGGAGAAAAATTTCCACATGGGATAAATTAATATATCTTTTAGTGTGTGATCGGTTATCCGAAACATCGATCTTCCGAACAACCCCAGTCCCCAATTGATTCGGATAATCGACGGTCTACTGTATTCATTGTTTTCGCTCTCCGTCCACTCGAGAACAGTTACTTAGTTACTTTTATACCCGATTTTTCCCTAAATAAACGACAGATTTTCTCACCAATCCGCTCCGAGTTGCTCGTTACTTTAGCTTTCTTAACGTTACAAGAGATTTTAACGATTTAAATAGTTTCTAACCTAAATATTTTAGGCTATATATTATTGTTATACGTTTTAAATTTTGCCGACTGTGTATATAAAGACCGCGCATAAAGAGAACCTTCAATTTACCGAACAATTCCCACGCCGACAAACTCGCTATCGTTTACGTACTCGGCTCGATGCCGGAGAGTTCGGTTTATTGAGAGTCTACTGTACAGGTAACACCCATATAACACGGGAAGTTACGTTCCAAAAAATTGCCGTGTTATACGAAACAAAGAACTAGTACGAAAAGGAGGGTTAGGTTCCAAAAATTAAAAAAACATGCTATTATATTTTCATAATTAAGATAAATATCTTCATTAAAATTTTCTTAAGCGATACATATTAATATAAATTAAACAATGCTTTCTTTGTCATCACTAAAAACACTATTAATTAACCGAGAGCGTTTTCTTTTTGGCAATTTATCCTTATCCTCTGAGCATTTTTCTGCATTATCTTCAGACCCATGCTTTATTTTTTGCAAAAAGTGTGTAATTTTAGATTGCTTGCTTCTAGTTAAAAGATCTTTATAAATTTCCTTATATGGTGCTAAGCACTTATGAAGAATAAAGCAAGTATGGAATAAGGGGAAAACATATGGCAACATCGGAAGCGGAAGCGTCGAGATCTGGCAACATTGAAACAAGTTTCGAGAAGGACCGTGTGTATCGACAGAAGGCGAGAAAAGAAAATTTACATACTTAAGTACTAATAGTTCACGAAAATAATAATTTTCGTGAACTATTAGTACTTAAGTACGTAAAAATTTATTACATTTCATGTTGTACGAGGGTTTTACCCAATTCTCGAACCGTGTCAGAGTGAATCCGTGCTATAGAAGTGCCGTGTTATACGGGGGTTACCTGTATTTAACATCGCGATTAAATTAGAAAATGACAATTCGAACGGTCTTTCACAGTGCACTCCGCCGTATTCTTAAAGTTTTGGATTTCTCGAAGAAAGCGTTGCCATAAACTTGACGAAAACGTAACGTATTTGGAAGTATCGAGACTTAATTACGTACGAGTATTTGACGACAAGAAATTCGTTTTGTTCTATTGAAAGATTGTCAGACGTTTCTATCCTAGTAGTGGAAAACGCTTCCGACTATTTAAATGCCTTTTAGTGTGCGAATAAGGACTCGGGAGAGTACGTAAATCAATAATCGAAAGAAAATAACAGTAGAACGACGGGGTACGAGCGAATTAAATGGTCAATTATCCATTAAATCCAACGATAGGAGAGAATCTATCGCCCAGAGAGTGCCGCCATCTACCGAGTGGCAAAGGAAATAGCCGCGAGCTCGAATCTAGCCGACAAACTTTGATATTTTAAAAGTGCTCCGACATCATTAAGAATGCAA